GCCTTATGAAAATGGCTAATTGTTTATGGGGATTTAGTTTCTTTTCAATCAAACCACTGTACTACCATTTTGATATCAGATAGCATAAATATTACGTCGCTAAATCGATAAAATTGTTAAAATCCGTTATGTTTTTCTGTAAGTCTGTGGGTGTAGCCATAGCATTCACAAGGTTGTCAGATAGCATTAAAGTGTTGTAATCCTGCGAAGGTAGCCATAGCTTTCACTAGGTTGATAGATAGTCTGGGAGTGATGTTAGATCACGAGAAGAACAGTAGTACCCATCAGTTTGGGTGCAGCAGTGAGGGCATGGAAATCCACAGACTGGGTTACGAAATTGCCCAGATGGGTTAGAAATGGTTGAGCCAGTGATAAGATCGTGGGAACACCACGACAATGATGGGATCAAGGAAACGATGGAACGCATATGGTTGTTCGTGATATAATGCTATCTTCAGTCATGTAGCAATCACTTTTAGCCTCAGAATTGGTGACGTCAGGATTCGACATATGGATTCAATCAGTTGGATCAGGATGTCGTTAGGGACATAGTGGTAAGATAACTAATGGAAACTACTGACAGATGAGGATTTCGTTCGAAAGTCGCTTAGGGAGGCTGTATGGGAGCCTTGGGGTCAGTAACCAGGTGGGAAATCAGTATTTTAGATGACGGGCGAACGAGTCAAGTCCAGGGAAGTCTCAGTGGATTTTGGAAAGTAGTTGTGTGGTAGTTCAGTATTTCAGGCAGTTCAGTGTTTCGGGCATATCAGCGTTTCGGGCAGTTCCAGTGTATCGGGCAGTATTGGTGTTTTTAGGCTTTCATGTACGGACAGAGTAACTGATCGACTGGGAAGCAATAAATCACTCGCGGTGGGATTAAATAATCTCATAGTAGTTGATTTTGACTCTGTTGCGCAGCTCTCGTATGAGTCTAACCGTTTCAGGGATGAATCTTCTACTCGAAGGATTATCGTATCCTTCTGTCAGGTGTAAGTGTTCTGTAGCCATTTATGGACAGTGACTTGTTCCCTTTTCAGCAGTAGCATGATGTGTGACAGTTCGTTTTGAGGGGTCTGAAAGGGAGCCATACCACTAAGACCTTAGGGTTCAGATTCCAGGGAAAGTAGGATTGGTTTTACGTGAGAGATAGAGGAGTCATTCTTCACCGAGTTTGAAGAATTACTCTAAGAGTGGTTTTAGTAGATCGGGATAGGCCAATATATGAATAGAGTGAAAGGATTTTGATTGTTCTGCTAGCATTTGAGGGATTGACGGAGAGTTGTTTCAGCACGGGCGAGCTGTCGAAAAGCAAGATTATGATAAGTTTCAGGTCTCAGAAAGTAGAAGTAGCTTATAAAGGCTGAAGGTTTGGGTAATATATCATGTATAGAAGTTTTGGTTGCGTTGGGAAGGCCATTGATCGTGTGGGGTGATGGTTGTACCCTCAGGATGGCAAGTGGCACTTCTCGTAAGAAACGTTAGTTGGTTCATGGAAAATCGAGGGAGCCTCGAGCATATCGCATGAGTCATTTTGGGGATAGGTGATCGCGGTAGACATCGAGGATGAAATCTAAGATAAGTGGGGGGGATTTGTAACGCCCGGTTCCTGGAATGTATTTGAAAAACAATTCATTCATTTTGCAAAGGGACTCGATGAGTTGGAGGCCCCAAACTCGTCGAGTAGGAAAGGAATTTGGACGTGTGACTTGAAGCCTACTCGACAAGTCGAGAGCCTCAACTCGACGAGTAGGGCTGCCAGAGTCAAACCCTAATTTTCATGGTTTTACACCTTATTTAAGTACTTTAACCTCCAAAGGGTGGCCTCATTTGCAGCTTCCATCGTCCCAAACCCTAGCCAAGAAACATTAATCTGTTTTTGAAGAGTTTTGAGCCATCCTTTGTGATTTTGAAGCTTGTGAAGGAAGAAGAAACTTGAGGAAGGAGCAAGGAAGTGAAGGAGAAGAGTAGATCCAAAGTAGAGCTTCATTTATGGTTCACCTGAGGTATAAAGCTCTCACCTTGCTTATTGAGTGTCTAGGTCTAGTTTTAGGGATTTTTCTCCATGTTTTGGTTCAATAATGGTACCTTTGGGATTTGGATGTCACCTGGGAAAGAACCTTCATATGTAGATTCCTTGAGGGACTCCATGGCATAAAGGTGCCAACTTTCTGGCCATCGTCCCATGCAACTTATGAACCATCTTTTTAGATCTTTTGAGCTAAATAACCCATGCATGAAACGTAAATTTGATAACTTTATGAGATATATTGACTCTAGGGAACCAGATCTATGGTTTGGAAGTGTCGGACTCAATAGAAAGTGACTTAATGGATATAGACTATTGGGGACTCGACGAGTTGTTTATACAACTCGACGAGTTGGGTCATGGTCCCCCGGTCTTTTCTGTTACTGAGTAAACTCGTTGAGTCTAGGAGATGACTCAACGAGTTGGCCATGGTTTTGAGTTATGAAGATTGAGGAACACGACGAGTTCAAGGAGGGACTCGACGAGCTGTGAGTGAAATGTCCCGACTCTGTTTGGATGGGAACTCGACGAGTTCATGAAAGAACTCAACGAGTAGGATCGAGATTTCTAGAGTTTCATGGATCAAGAACTCGACGAGTTTATGGACCAACTCGGCGAGTTGAGTCAACCAGGATGTTGACTTTGATCAAGGTTGACCCTTAGAGGGTTATGAAGTACGGAATGGATGCTAGAAGGTAGTCCCTTGTAAGTTTTGGGGCCCAATTTGGAAAATTGGGCCATTAGTGGGCTTTTATGGATTTTAGAGTTTTGGACTTGGTTTGGTTTTGGACTTGGGCCTTAACTAAGTATCTTGTTGGCCAGGGGTAAAATGGTCATTTTACCTAAGTGTGGATTATGAATCATGATATAGAACCCGATTGCTAATTGGGTGATATTTTGGTGTTGATATCTCGAAGATTTCCAGGACAACAGCTAATGATCTCTTGCAATGAATTTCAATAGCATGAGGTGAGTTACCTTCCAATAGAAGTAGGTCGAAGGCACCAATGTCGGCCCACTAGTAAGAGTTATAGTAGAAATGATTGTCTTTGTGATAATTATTTGGTATGTCACTATTTGTTATGCTTTATGTGCTAGTATGCTATGATATTATGTGATAGTGGTAGGAGGGTAGGATAGACGCCGGTACCAGTCGAAATGACCGAAGGGGTAGGCCAGCACCCAAATATGTTAGGCACTAGGAGAAATGCATGTATATGTTAGGATATTATGTGGTAGTGGTAGGGGATGAAATAGTCCACGGATACCGGTTGAAAGAGACCGAAAGAGTAGGCCAGCACCCAGATATGCTAGATAGGTTACTGATTAAAAGAGACCAAGGGGTAGGCCAGCACCCAGATATGCTAGGCAATATGTTATTGTTTGGTGTGTGGTTTGATGGGGGACTCACTAAGCTCCGTACTTATGGTTTTCAGTTTTGGTTTCAGGTACTTCGTTTTCAAAGTAAAGGAGTCGACTATTGTAAAGCATCACACCATGTTTTCCGCACTGGAGATCTTTAGGATTACACTCTGATATTGTTTTATGATAACATGTTTTGATTATTGACACCTTGAGTTTCAACATGGGATGTTATTATGGATGTTTTTATACTGTTGGTTTTATAATAACTCATTTAAAAATGAAATTTTTTGTCATGAATTTTGGGATGTTACAACCAATTTAGTAACCAGTGCCTTGAGTTGTAAGGCAGTTAGTACTCCTATTTGTGGCCTATGTTTGAGGATGACCATCATTTCAGCACTTCTGGAGATGATAAGGGAGGCACAAATCGAGGGGATCAAGAAGGAGAATTGGAAGGAAGAGAATATCGGTGATGCAAATTGCTACCTTTATCACCAAAAGTCGGTGGTTATTGACTCAATGTGGACAGTTTTGGTTGTAGTTTTCGGTGGGGTTCATCAGTCGTTAGTCGTTGTTAGAGGAGGGCCTGGGACCCTAGAACCCTTGGATCCACCCCTAGATGGGATCGCTAAAAGGAGGAGATAAGAAAGAGATGTAGAGTTGAAAAAAAAAAGAAAAAAAAAAGAAAAAAAAAAGAAAAAGAAAAAAAGAGATGGTGTATATGTTTCTTAATACACGTTTTGAAAGAAAGGGGATGGGGTAGGGTGGACGGGAGCTTTTTTTATTTTTTTAATTATTTAAATATTAACAAATATATTTAATTATTTTTAAGGACCAAACCCACAAAAAGATATTCGATTTTGGAATGGTGGTGCAAATTAAAATGATTTTGAAAATATTTTGGACTCTTCCATGGTTTTTAGGAAACACACAAACCAAATTTTGCAGTTTAGGCTTTACGAAGTGGCTTTATGATTATTACTCATAGGAGATGGCCACATAAGCCCACCTCACATCCATTAACATCTCACGGGTCTTTAGGAAATGGTATACTCGCCCGTGGAAGAGAGAGATAGAGCGAAGAAAAGAAGAAGAGTGAGTGAGAGTGATTCTAAGCAATCGTGAAACTAGCTACGAAGAGTCAAACTTGCAAACATTAGAGGTGGTGTTTGAGAGAGTCATACGTGACTTGTGGTGTCAACTCAGATTACACATATGTTTTACCATTTTTAAGATTTAAAGTTTTTTTTGTAAAAAGACTTTTTACTATTGATTTTTTTCAAAAAAAAAAAATTAATGTGTTTGTATTTGCTTTTTATGTGTTTGTATTTACTTTTAGATAAAAGTTAATTTTTCAGTTAAAAAGCTTACAAAAATATAGAATTTTTAACTTTTGAAAAACCAACTTTTCCTTCTATATTAAAAATTATTTTAAATAATATTTTTCATTAGTTAAACATTTTTTAGTTTTTTTTTTTTAATTAAAAATCAAAAGTTGTCTAAAAAAATTAGGAATGGACGATAGAATCTTTTCCGAATTGAATTTACTTTTCTCATACTTTATCTCGCTGTTTTCCCATATTACTTTGACAGATTCTTCGATTTGGTGATTCTTTGTTCTTCTAATCGTTTTTTTCTTCCTCTTTTTTGATTCTTTGTTCTCGAATTGGTTGTTAAACCATAATTTCCCATGGGTTAACATCTCTTTTTTGAGAGTCGTAGAAAGAAATAGAGAATAAGGTTGATAACTTTATTCCCTCAGTCGAAGAATACTACTGTTCTTGTTCTTGAACCAGTGATCAATTACATTGTTACAATTAAGTAATTAACCCATAAACTATAATCTGCCAAAAAGATTTGATTTTGATATGGGTGGCTGTTTTTCATCGAACCAAGAAGCGAATGATGCAAAGCAATTGCCAACGAATTGGGAAAAGGGTTCATACCCTCATCATCCCAGCATACTTATTTCTGGTAACAAACACTTTTTCTCTTGTTAGTGTTAGCCTTATGAAAATGGCTAATTGTTTATGGGGATTTAGTTTCTTTTCAATCAAACCACTGCACTACCATTTTGATATCAGATAGCACAAATATTACGTTGCTAAATCGATAAAACTGTTGAAATCCGTTAAGTTTTTCTGTATTTGCGCTTGTTTATATGGGCTTACGTGGATGTTGGGGTTTTAAACGACATAGTTGACAAAACTGACACCTTTTCTTAGCTTTGTGTAGATGAATTTAAATTTGGTGATAATCTGGATCATAAGGGCATAACATTCACAAAAGATGGAGAAACAGCACATGGTGTTGTACAATTTACTTTTCGTGAGCTTGCTACTGCAACTAAGAATTTTTGTATAGAGAGTTTTATGGGAGAAGATGATTTCGGGTGTGTTTACAAAGGTCGTTTGGAAAGAAGCGGACAGGTAATTACACTCAAAGATCTCAAGTTCATTATATCTCATTCAATATAAATCACATAAAACAGGATCTTATACAAGAATTTGATCGTGTAAGTATTATGATTTAGCAATTTTTAAGTTTTTAAGTGTAAAAACCATAATACTTACACGATCTATATATTTCTAACACAACAAACATAAATTGACGTATAATTTGCCAAAATCGTAATCTACAGAATGTTTTTTTTTCTTTTTTTTTCACAAAGGTTTCGAGATGAATTTGTTTGTAGGTGGTTTCAGTGCAGCATCGTCATCGAATCTGTGATCAAGGAATCATAGAGTTTTTTAAAGAGGTTATGAAGCTTAGCCTTTTTCATCATGCAAATCTTGTAAACTTGATCGGTTATTGTACTTATGGAGACCACCTTCTCCTTGTTCACAAGTTTGTGCCTTTGGGATCACTCAAAGATCATTTACATGGTGAGCCTTTTGAACCCTAACTTCACTTAACCATTAAGATGTTGAAATCATCCAGCACTAAATGGTTCAGTTTTCTCAAACATCCCAAAAATCCATTAACTCAAAAAGAAACGACAACTTACAAATGTTTGTTTGCAGATCTTTTGCCAGATCAAAAACCATTAGACTGGAACACAAGGATGAAGATTGCAGTTGGTGTAGCCAAGGGTTTGGAATATCTTCATAAAACATCAAATCCCTCTGTTGTATACAGAGACCTAAAACCATCGAACATTCTTCTTGATGAAGGATACCAACCAAAATTGTCAAATTTTAAGCTTGGAAAACACACTCCATTTGACAATTTAACCTCATGCCCTTCTTTTAGGGTAGATGGAACATATACCCATTGTGCCCCTGAAGGTCCGATAATCTTTGATTCAGATGTGTATAGTTTTGGACTCATTTTCCTTGAACTCATCACAGGTCGAAAAGTCATTGACTACACCCGACCTTATGAAGAACAGTGTCTTGTTTATTGGGTAAGTCCATGTCCATGTTTTTTTTTTCGTTAAGTATTATTGGAGAATTACCAACTTGTGCCGACAAAACTGCAAAAATGGTCCCTGTGGTATGCATTTTTTTGGGATTTCAAACAGTGATTTTTTTGGATTGGTGGTCCTTTTGAGATAATTTGCATGTGAAAATAGTCCCTCCGAAAATTGAAATGACTATAATACCCTTGGGGTATTTATTTTTTCATTTTTTTTAAATTAAATATCTATTTATTTACTTTAACAATTAAAAAATAATGGAAGACCCACCTCTCTCTCTCTCTCATCCCGAGCTATCACTTCATCACACACACACACACACAAACAGACGAACCTTCCCTCTTCTTTCAATCTCCACCCTTCTCCCCTGATTTGTTATATTTTTTTAGATTACACTTCATCAATTCATCAATTCCCCCTGATTCGATTCGATCTTCGAGGATGGAATGATCAGTTTTTCGGAAAAAAAAAATCCGTTCTATTTTCACCATTCTTGTTCACCCAAAAGCCGATTTACCCACCTGTTATCTCTCCATACTTCTCCCTTCCTCTAATTTTGATGGGGGAATTGATTAATGGTTTGTTCTTGATTTTGGTTTGGTGTTGTTTACAAGTTTTAATTTTTATCTGGGGATGAGTTCAGGGGGAGATAACGATGGTGAAGAAGAATAGGTGGGAGGGAAGAGGAAGTTGATGAGGCAAGATGAGGGGAGGAACCAAAAGACACACACATACATGGATTTCTGGTGTGACTAGGGAACCTTCATCCTTGCTCAAAAACTGATGAAGATGAAACCTTCATCCTTATTCAAAAACCATTACAGGACGTCAACTAAATCAAAGATTGGGGTTTCTTGCTCCAAAACCCTTAGAGAACCTGCAACTAAATCAAAGGTTTGACATTTAAAAACAAACTCATATTTCAACGGTTTCATCGTGTTTCATCGTGTGTGCCCTGAATTAAAAAGAAATCTGGAATTCATATGGGTTCTTGAAGAAATAAACTTGAACGGAATCAAAATAGAAGTATGAAATAAAACTAAAAACTTGATTGAAAACAAAATCAGAGTTGTTCCATGGGTTTTTGATTCTGGTTAGAAGGAGAAACAAAATCGAAATCGACACCATAAACAAAATCAAACCCAAATAAAGATTCAGTGTGTGTGTGTATCTCTTCCCCATGGTGTTTGTGATCAATGGTGACAAAGGATGATTACCTCGGTGCATGTTTTTGTTGTGGGGTTTTCAGTGGTGCAGCTTCGGTGGTTGAAGAAGGAAGCTTGGGTTCAACATTCTTGATGTATGGATGATGGTGGCTAAAAGGAAGATGATGAATGTTGATGATCTGGAGTGTGTGTGTTTTCTTGAGAGAGAGAGAGAGAGAGAGAGAGAGTCCTCCATTATTTTTTAATTGTTAAAATAAATAAATAAATATTTAATTTAAAAAAATGAAAGAAAAAATGGAAAATAAATACCCCAAGGGTATTATAGTCATTTCAATTTTTGGAGGGACTATTTTCACATACAAACTACCTCAAAAGGACCACCAATCCAAAAAAATCACTGTTTTGACTAAAACCCCAAAAAAATGCATACCACAGGGACCATTTTTCAATTTTGTCAATTGCGCCTCACTTTCTTTTATTATATACGTGCTACTTAATTTCTGTATAAGTTCATGATGAACACATCTTGTTTATTGGGTAAGGCCCTATTTCTTTTTTTCTATGCGGAGGATAAAATGTTGTTTGATAAATAATGTGTAAAAGATATTTTATAAAATGGAAGGAAAAAATAAACAAGGGTAAAGTTGTAAATATTTTGGACTTAATGGAGAAAGCCTCATTTTCATGACTTTCTATGTTAGGTTGTTCTTTTCGTATTAAGTTAAAAGGAAAGACACATAAAGCCTTCTGCAAAAAGCCATGACGTGATTAAGTCCATTAAGGACAATTTGTTGAAATTGTTGATATGTAACATCATAGTTGATGATCACAAAGGACAATTTCCATTTATTGATATTTTTAGACCTGACTAGACAAACTTTCTAAGATTATTTTCAATGACGAGAAGGATATTCTTGTCTTTTGTCTTTTGCACAAGCAAAAAGATTGAAAGCGGGTCTTTACCCCATCTTTTTGGATGGGATGATAAATTTTTCAATTTTCGTCCTATTACATGTCAAACACAGTACAAAGTTGTTATGTCATTTTGGATTTGACTTTATGTTACAATTTGTAGGCACGGCCACTTTTGAAAGATAGGAAAAAGTATGCGGAAATGGCGGATCCATTGCTGGAAGGGCGATATCCACCGAAAAGACTTAAAGAAGCACTTGTTGTTGCAGCAATGTGTATTCAGGAAGGGATTGCTGCAAGGCCTGACATTAGTTCTGTTGTGGCTGCTTTAACATATATAGCTTCATCAACTTACGACCCTAATGCCTAAGTGTCAAAACAGAAACGAAGATTGTGGGTTGTGGGTTTGACTTAATGTACTTAACAGGGCATGTAAGGTTGTAAGCTATATATATATATATATATATATATATATATATATATATATATATATATATATATATATATATATATATATATATATATATATATATAGGCTTAGGTTATTTTGTTTTTATTAAGTATTGTGTGTCAGAATGCACAGATCTGGACCAATTGATGAAATTAATCAATGGACATGATTTGAAAGTGTATGATATTACAATGGGGTCACATGTACCATATAATCACACAATTTTTAGCAAAAGGGTATTTTGGACAATTAACTACATTTATAAAAGGAAATGTTCGGATTTTTAGGGATGATTAATTCTCCTAATTTAAAAAAATCTGAATTTTTTAATTAATTTAATTTCAATTTTTACCGATTATATTCTGTCAGAATATTTTTTGTTAGAATGATGCTCTTTCAGAATATTATTCTAATAGAATATTATTTTGTTAGAATGATGCTCTTTCAGAATTTTATTCTAATAGAATATCATTGAAGAAAAACAAAATTTTTGAATCAGATGTTGAAAAATAACAAACATCCTAATATATTCTTATACATCCGAACTTAAATACAAATTCATACATGTTCTTACAGACTAAAATCCTTATACATTTTAATATAATTATACATATATTCTAAAAGAATATGAAGGTCTTCAACGCCTTCTTCCAGCCATTCCTATCACAAATACAACAAAAACTAATAATTGTTAAAAACATGTTACTTGCAATTAACTATCACTTAATATATTCTGGTAGAATAAATAGAATATAACAGAATACATATAATACATTCTGGCAGAATATATCGATTCTATTCTGGTAGAATACATAATTTTCAGCAACATATTTGATTCAGAATGCATACCACAAGGTTCAAAGAGTAAATTAATTTGTGTTGATGAAAAATAAAAAGGCACAAACAACCTAGAATTGTATTCCATACAAAAGTGGAATAATACACAACCGCATTTGTTCCAGCTAATTGTTTTCAGCAATACCAATTAAGATCCTTGGCAAGATACTCAAGTGCACCATTAACAACACTGAAGCAGAAAACAGATTTGGAATTAGATGAGAATTATATTATAGAACAGTAGTAATTTTATGATGTAGAATTATGTGATGTACCCTAGATGATATCCGAACAATATTGCTCCCAGACTTGCAATACCAACGTAAGGCAAAACTGATCCAGAAGACTTTGATTGGATCTTGAGATGAGTAATATCTCCATCTTAATTTGATCATTTGTGTTAGAAAATTGTGATTCTAAACTGAATGTCTAATGTCATTTGATTCTTATGTGATTCAATTAGTTCGGTTAAGTTGTTCATCAAATGACATTAGATCAAACACCAATACACATAATAGTTGTGCGCAAAATTGGATCGAATTATGAAGTGTAAATAGAGAGCATAATCCAATGAAACAAACCGGAGGCTTGAGCTTTGACTGATCTAGACTTTGTAGAGGAGCGGAACAAACTTCTGGCGCCAGCGCTACCAAGCTCCATGCGGCGCATATGACCGGCGCCGAGTCGCGAGACAAAATCAGAATCTCTTTAGTTCCCAATCATGCGCACAGTGATTTTTCTGTTCCTGAATTGACACGAACCCGACGAAACCCTACTGCTACGATTTTGGACATGGAAACCGTTGACACTGACGCTTAGAAGCCAGGATAGATTGGGAAATTAGGGATTTGAATGAGCGTTGTTTTCTAGAATTTGAGAAACTGAAGGTGGAGATAGAAACATACGCTTAGTGGTGGTGACGAAAGCATCTCCGATTCTCGTCTTCATTTGATCAGGGACAAAAGGAACTCGGTCGAAGCAGGGGAAGAACGAACGGAAGACAGCAACAACATAACTAGGTTGATGGTGATGGTGTTGATGCCGATGATGAAGTGTTCAGCCACAAACATAACTAGGTCAAATATATTTAGTTTTATTCCTTAATTGAATGATTAGTTTATTTCCTTAATTGAATGATTTCAATTAAATAATTTCCTTAAATAAAAGTACAAAAGGTCCAAAATACACTTTAATGATTTAATTAATTATTTATTATTTCTTGAATTCTCATTGGTGTATTTAATCACACAATAGTTGCTAAAAACATTTGAACCTAACTCTCTCTCTCTCTCTCTCTCTCTCTCTCTCTCTCTCTCTCTCTCTCTCTCTATATATATATATATATATATATATATATATATATATATATATATATATATATATATATATATATATATATATATATATATATATATATATATATATATATATATATATATATACACTTAATGGACAAAAAACGAATTATTACGGAAAGTTAGGAAAATATAAAGCGGGATTGAAGGGGTGAATTCTTAATATATATATATATATATATATATATATATATATATATATATATATATATATATATATATATATATATATATATATATATATATATATATATATATATACTTAATGGACAAAAAACGAATTATTACGGAAAGTTAGGAAAATATAAAGCTGGATTGAAGGGGTGAATTCTTAATTCTTTAATATTATGACATGTGTTTCTTTATTTGATCATATGGGTGACTGATTAGAGCATGTAACAGAGTCAAAGTTTAAAAACCGGCTGTTAAAAGCCACAATACCCTTCTCCACAAAATAGTAATAATAAATAGCCGCATACAATTGCTGAAATCAAAAAATTAGAGAAATTTTAATGTTTGGTAACGAAATTGAACTTGTAAGAGAAATTGGAATCTAAAAAAATATTGAATATGTAATGTGTTTGGTTGACAGGTAATAATGAAACTTGTTTGGTTTACAAGTTCGATTAAAGCAATTGGAATGTAAAATTTACAAAAAGAGTAAAGTGCTCTTTATAGATATTAGTATTCTTATTTTATAAAAATAACTAATAATCACTATGTACCAAAATTTTCTTATCTATAATTCTTTTATAAATAAAAACTTTGGGAAAATGACTTAGGAGGGTAACTACCTTTTATCCGTGTTCACATATTGGCAACTTCTTTTTTTTGTACATAATAAAGCAACTAGCTTGTTTTAACTGTTTAAATTACACCAATATTACCGGCTAATACATGTTTTAACCGGTAACTCAAAGGGAAACTGACTTAGGAGGGTAACTACCTCTTATCCGTGTTCACATGTTGGCAACTTCTTATTTTTTGTACATAAGAAAGCAACTAACTTGTTTTAACTGTGTAACATCTCAAAAATCATGACCAAAAACTTCGTTTTTAATTTAATACTAAAACCATAATTGTCAAACCATTAATTTAATACTCCAACATCGGGCCCCGCCTGGCATCAGGCCCTGCCTGGCATCGAGCCTTGCTCGGTATATAGGTATGTCTCTCTTAGGCCCCACCTGTCTCCTGGTCCCACCCGTTAAACACATACAATCATATAACATGCTAACACATAAAGAAACATACTCTAGTATATATTTGTCCTAAGAAACATACTCTGCTAATAATGAGATACAAAACATCGTCCGTATTCAGCTAGTGATGAGATATTGGACCTTGCCCACACTCACCTCCTTACCAGGCACATACAAGTATCACACAGACAACAAGTATAATCTAACATGTAAACATTCTTCGGGCACCCGCCCGACATCGGACCTTGGTCTGGAATAACATACTAGCATACAATACCTAGGGCTAGCCCCCGGGTCTTCCTACTCATAGACTACATGGGCTGACATTATGGCCTTAGACCCATTGACACAGTGAGGAGACTCACCTTGCACTGCTGAAGCCCTGGCTGGAACTAATTGAGTACAGACGAAGTTTCGTATCTCATTATTAGCAGAGTATGTTTCTTAGGACAGTGATACGGTAGAGTATGTTTCTTTATGTGTTAGCATGTTATATGATTGCATGTGTTTAGTGGGCGAGGCCTAAGAGAGACAGATTTGTATACCGAGCGGAGCTCGATGCCGGACGGGGCCTGATGTTGGGCAGGGCCCGATGCCGGAGTATTAAATTAATGGTTTGATAATTATGGTTTTAGTATTAAATTAAAAACGAAACTTTTATTCATGATTTTTGGGATGTTACACAGTTAAAACAAGTTAGTTGCTTTTCTTATGTACAAAAAATAAGAAGTTGCTAATATGTGAACACGGATAAAAAGTAGTTACCCTCGTAATTCATTTTCCCTTTAAGTTACCGGTTAAAACATATATTAATCGGTAATATTGGTGTATTTTAAACCGTTAAAACAGATTAATTGTTTTATTATGTACAAAAAAGAAAAAATTGTCAATACATAAACACGAACAAAAGATAGTTACCCTCCTAAGTTATTTTCCCAAAAACTTTTAATATAATTAAATTGCTTAAGTAAATAACACAAACAAAAGGATTATGACAATTGTTCACTATTTAAAAACCAAATTCTATAAAATTTATTTTTAAACTTTTTTCATTAGAAAAAGTTTCTTATATTTTAGCCACTAAAAGTTTGTTTTTATTAAAAAAAATGTTACATTTAAAAAACAACCGGTGAAATAGTTTTATGCAAGAGTTTTCAGGGTTAGTCTGGTCTTTTTGTAGTAGATAAGGTGTTAAATTTACATTGTTTGGGTTTATCTTAAAGATAATAATAATCAGTTGGTCACAAATTTAATTCGACACAAATCCATTCCATTGATTTTTCAAACACACTATTTGTTGGAATTTTTTTTTCAATTACTTTGAACTTTTACAGAATTTTTAGTTACACTTTTAAGGCTAGTTTTTGTTGAAGTTGTATCAACAGTAACATCAATTTCAAATTTGACAAAAGAAATAAATAAAAGAGGGAGGGGATAGGTTATCATATGATGATTAGAGATAGTTGGTTGATATAGAAGCCAAACATCCAGAAACACTATTTGGAATTCAGACACAAAACTAAGAAAATAAGAGACAAATGGCAATGGCTATTATAAATGCCGATTCATATACATACAGTCATTCTACTATTACTATTACGACTACATCAATGCCTCCAATGTCTCAAAAATCAAAATATTAGTAAGCACCTCACTTTCATTTGCCCTTCTTTCCCTGCAAAATCGCAATTCACTACACATCAAATTTTATAAAATACAGTGTTTTTATTGCATTTTAGCAAGTATGAAAAAAAAAAACATTTTTTGTGTGTATAGGTAGTTTAGGGGCAATTGCAATACCGAGTTAACATAGTCATCCATTGATGATTGCTTTCGCTTCTTTATAGTAGAAGGTGGACTCTCTGTTTGCCTTGCTATGGCCCGCTTTGATGGAGTTGAGTTCTATAAATTAATCAAAGTTTCAAAACTTATCAATTTATAAAATAGCAGGCAACAAAATAAAAGCACAACAAATGTCATTTCTTTTTAACTTAATCAAATAAAAGCTTTTATGTATTCATGTTCCTTTTTAACTTGCTATAAAACAAACTAAGGTCTGGAAAAAAAGAAGCTTTCCCATTATGCCCTCACCTTCTACAAACTTATTCTCCAAGTGTGTCAGCATCATTTTTCTCAAATATTTTTTTAGAATAAAATACATTTTTGGTTACTGTTCCAGGAAAAACTTATGGAGTTGATTACAACTTTGGTCCTCAAGTTTAGCTTACTTTTTCAGTTTTGGTCTTAAAAAGTCATTTTCTTGGAAAAGAACCCAAAAGGTTAAGAAAAAATGCAAAAGAAAACTTTCTGAGACCAAAATTGAAAAAATCAGCAATAAATTTACTTGCATTTCTATAATTTGGGAACAAAAGTGCAAAATTTAAGATTTGTTAAAAAAATGTCAAACCTTGGAAAGTTTCTTTTCTTTACGAGCCTGTCTCTCTCTCTCATCATACTCTTGATTTTCCCTCTCCACCAATCGAATGAGAGTATCACATCTCCTTGCAAGTTCTTGAGTGGTTCTTGACTTAACAAACCAATCAAATCTGAACAAAGGTGATGTTCTAAATGCAGCCTTCAATTCGTCCCAGTTTCCATACCCAAGTTTATGAACCATGCAAATCTATAAAAGTTTTAAAATGATTGAGATTAATAACTAACATAGCAATCTACTTTTGTTTGTCTGTTTGTTTGTTTGTTTCTAGTGGTTTTTTTCTTACTTACCATGAACCGATCACATTCCTCATTGTAGAGCTTGCCTTTGTTCTGACCGTATTGGATTTTGAGCTCCAGCCAAGGGTTTTTGTAACGGTCTAATTTCTTTCCAATTGCTTTCATTATTTCATCTTTACGAGAAATTCTAGCCTCCCCTCTTTCAATATTCTTAATTATTCTATCATAATCTGTTACAAAAAACAAAAAAAAAACAAGTCAAATATTCACATATGGACTCAAACTCTAACAAGTAGCAAATTTAATAATTTACCATTCAGTTCCTTGTATCTTTCCTTAAAGACTGCAGCGTATCTTTCAACTTCCTCTTCTGATTTGCCTTCCATTTCAGAAGCAATACTACCCACATCACTCCTACCATACTTCTCACAAGCCCTAATGAAAGTATTGAAGTCTCTTCTACTCCATGTTGAGAATCCCTGGAATCGACAATAGTAATAATATTAATTAATAATCATAATAAGGAACAGTGGAAAATATTAAAATCAAGACATACTTCTTCCAGTAGTTTCTCTTTTTCTTCTTGCTCTTCAGCAGTCAAAGGATCTCCCACCTCTACTGAATTAACAACATAATTAGTATGTTTTTTTAATAAAACAAACACACAAGATTAGCTAGCTTCTCTTGTACCTTCTGGCTCATCAACTTCTATGGAGTCTTTCACTTGATTCTTCTGCTGTGCCTGCTAAAAATTCAAGAAACAAAGCAAGTGAATTAAGGGTGAGTAGAAAAGACATAAATGCCCTTCTCATCTTCATCAGCAAAACTTGTATCGTCTTTGGCATGCATTGGACTTTGTAAATAGGACAAATTGCAAGTTTTCCATTGAAAAAGATGGAAAAAAAGGTAAGACAGGACTTGATTTTTAATTCTCATCTATGCAAAAGACATAAACGCCCTTCTCATGTTGACAAAGCAGTCTAATGAAAGATAAAGGAGAGTTCAAGGGGTAAAGTCAATACCACCATGAGATACCGCACTTCTTTCTCATAGAGCTCACTTAGCCTCTGAGTGTTAAAGAACTGGAAGTCATGCCTGCATTAAACACATTTTTCAAATGATTGTTAAGTTCCAAAACAAATCCTATAAAAAAAAAAGGTAGATCCAAGAAACAGCAACAAGCTTTCATTATTTGTTCATTAAGGAAACATAATTTCACTTCTCATTACAGCCTTAGACTTTATAAAACCTACCCATTATAGAAATGTCATCCAAATACAAAACAATTTTTGAAAGTAAAAAAGCACTAACTAAAAGTAAAAGGTTATACTTGGATCAATTTTTCATAGAACAGTGGCTTAAAAAACCTCTGAAAGTACAAGATTGTAACAGAAAAAAAAAATCAAAGGTGTAAAGAACTTACAATTGTGGCATGCGAGGAATCCTAGGCTCCTTTGGCCTTGCAGGACCACTTTGTCGCATTGTTTGCTTGAAGTATTCTGATTCTGAGTAGCTGAAAAGAATAACAACAATTAATTTTAAGCAACAGAAAGATTTCATGATCATTTAATATAATAAATCAGAACTTAAAAAAAAAAAATCAATAATTACTTGCGCTTCCTCTCTCTTTTTGGAGGCTCGACCCAATTATCACTCACAATCTTCTTAAAGTCAACCTTGTTTTCATCCTTCATAAATTAAAATACAAATAAGTTATGATAAGAAAGCCACACAGCAATAAAAGATAATCACAAAAGAAGTAAACAATGGAATACCTTGTCATCATCGAAATCATACAAATCAGCAGCTGCATATGAAATCCATTAAAAACTTAGTAAAGTAAAGTAATTAATAATGAAGACGCATTATTATTAAATGTAGTACATACTGTCATCCATTTTGAACTTGATTGCATCTTCTGTGAACTTTTTCATCTTAGCATCAAGTTCAGCAGTTGCCTCTTCTCCCTTAGCAATGATTCTGTCAATATCTTCATCTGTTATTGTGCTGTCCTTTGAACTGAATACCATTTCAGCACCAAACCTCACCATTTGTAGCAGCTCATCTTTGTTTACAGCTGCCAAAAAAAAAAAGATGACACATAGAAATATAAAACACCCACATGATATGAAAAGTCTTTCTGAGTAAACCAAGGAGAATTTGTTTAAAATAATGTTTTTAGAAGGAAAGAAAACTAGTAAAAAGCTGAAATGAAGAAATGCTTACTCTTTTGCTCTGCTAAACGTCCTTGTTGAATAACCAAAGCATCAAGTGCAAGCTTTTTATAAGCTCTTTCAATGACTTTCTCCTCTATAGTGTACTGTTTATAGTCCATTAAAATTAGCAAACAAACATTTCAGCTATAAATCAGATGAAAAGGAAAGAAGCTAAAGAAACCTCAGTGCAAAATCGGAACACTTGAACTTCTTTCTTCTGCCCAATTCTATGAGCACGATCCTGAGCTTGCAAATCCACTTGTGGATTCCTGCAAAATAAATTTTATATTCAATTAAACAAAACCACCAATTTTTTAAAAATAAAAATAAACTCCAGTCTCACTTACCAGTCACTGTCATACAAAATGACAATATCTGCAGTGGCAAGATTGATACCAAGGCCTCCAGCTCTTGTTGATAATAAAAACACAAACTTTTCACTTCCTGGCTTATTAAAAGCATCAATGGAGGCATCACGATCTTCACCTCCAGTGTTTCCATCAATACGACAATATAAATATCCACGAAACATCAAGTAATCTTCTAGAATGTCCAGCAGCCTTGTCATCTATAACAGCATACCACAATTTCTTTTAGTATAATAACAAATATACCTCACTAAACCAATACTTTCATGCTGCATAATATAAATACCTGTGAGAATATCAACACCCTTGAATCACGTTCCTTCAATTTTGGAAGCAACTTGTCGAGAAGCACCATTTTTCCTGTCATTATAACACCAAATACATATGGTGAGCATCAGGTAAAACAAGACACTTCAATTTTACCAAAAGGGTTATATGCAAGAGATTCCATTTCTTCAAAATACAGCATAAAATAATAATTGTAATATACTTGATCATGTCCAAATTAGGAGGGACCATTTTAGATATAGGGAAGAAGTTGAGGGGTTCACCTGCATTTGTTACAAGATGGTCGCCAGTAGTATAAGGAGGACCAGGTTCAGCTCCTTGAAACAGATATGGATGATTGCAGCATTTTCTGAGCTGCATTGCAATATTCAACAGCCGCTTTCTCTCACCTCCAGCATTCACAACCTCAAGATCTTTCTGCAGTAAGGCCTTGTAATACTGTTTTTGCATTTGAGACATTCCAACCTTGAGAATGGTTTCTTTTTTAGGAGGTAAACCTTTCTCAACATCTGACTTCAATCTTCTTAGAAGAAAAGGTCTCAGCACCTAAACACAGAGATAGAAGCAAATTAATAAGACACTTTAAACAATGATAATATCAAAAACTTGATGCAATAAACAGCAATGCACTTTCAACTATTTGTCTGTAATAGCAGCTTACCAACATTTTATATATATTCATAGCATTGTATGTATTTTCGTTTTCTTTTTCTTATTATCACGTTGTACATATAAATAAATGTGCTTTCAAGCTTTTTTTTTCTTATACCTTGTGAAGCTGTTGAACAACCTCTTCCTGATCATTTTCACCAGAAATTTGAAACCACTCATCAAAGGTTTCAGCAGAACTAAAAATCTCAGGTAGCAGAAAGTTCAGCAGTGCCCAAAGCTCATGAAGGTTGTTCTGTGTAAACACCCAAAAAAAACATTGATCAACATAAAAATCCAAACATACAGAAGTAAGTAAAGAAAATACAAATTAAAAACCTGAAGTGGTGTGCCAGTGATAAGGAGACGATAATTTGTATTGTAAATTCTCATGGTCTTTGAAAGAAGAGAATTCTCATTCTTAATTCTATGAGCTTCATCAATTATTATATAACGCCAGCTAAATCGACGTAAGGTAGTCTTCTCTTTAATAGCCATTTCAAAACTGGTGACACATACATCAAACTTTCCAGCAACAAGTAGCTCTTCACGTATGTATTTCTGTAAATATCAGGTGTTAATAGTTTACAAGTGTATAAAAAGTTAAAAACTAGTTTTGAAATAACTAAAATCAAAATTTAAAAGCATACCCTTTCGTCTGGATTACCAAGAAACTTTACAGCACGCAATATTGGGCAAAAACGTTTAATTTCATTCATCCAGTTACCAAGTGTAGACTTAGGAGCCACAACCATGTGGGGTCCAGTTATTCCTCTAAATTCATGCAAATAACCAAGTAATGAGATGGTTTGTAGAGTTTTTCCAAGTCCCTGAAATAATAATAAAAAAAGAATATTCATTAATCATTATCAGGTGAGTTGAGTGAATTTTGAAGTGATGATAAGGATAAAGATCATTAACATACCATCTCATCTGCAAGAATTCCATTTATACCATTCTCATATAGTCTTATCATCCAATTTAACCCAGCAAGTTGATAATCTCTCATCTTCCCTGTTATGCCTGTTAAGATTTCAACATAACCCAAAGTCAAAATTCAGAAACCACTTCAAAGTCAAAAGTTTTCTCAATTTGCTTTCAAGACAATGTAACAAATCATACCCAGTAATCTAAACAAAGTAGAATTATAGTGGTTATTGAATTATTTTAAAGATTCAATCTTAAATCTAATGACACAAGTCTAAAGAGGAAAAAGGGGGAATCTTACAAGAAGGCTGCACCAACAAACGTGTATGTCCTGCTCCAGCTTCTTCCTCTTTGAGATATTCTTCATCTTCTTCTTCTTCAGTCAACTTTGAAGCATGACGACCCCTAAGCAGAAAAAAGAGCACATAAATAATCATCAAATATGCTTCATGAATGTTAATTATGAGGTTTTAAAATTACCAAATCAGTAAAGTTCTCACCTTTCCTTTCCCTTTCCCTTTTTCTGAGAAGCAGATGCATCACTTTTGGCAAAATGAGCAAATAGTTCTGTTTGCTGCAGTAAGAACTTCAATCTTCCCTTTCCCTTGCTATTCTGTCATAGTTTAATAACAATAACCAAGCCACATTAATTGATTTTGATGAACATTAAAATATATATATATATATATATATATATATATATATATATATATCAACTTTGAAGTATGTTTTTCTGTATCACGCACCATATCAGCCTCAATAGTAGCATTTTGTTGATCAAGTATGTCTTGTATCTTTTGTCTCTTCAACCTCTGCATCTCCTTTAACCTTGCCTTTTCACGATGACTAATTTCATTGTTGGCCTCATCATTGTCATCCTGCAAGTAATGTTGAGATCGTGTTACTTATACTCAAAGAAACAACACTGATTCATCACATAATACCTTTAGTTTCAAACACCCTTTGAAAAGTACTACTTAGAATGATAACAATTGCATGAATACAGTAAAGCTGGATGAATTCTACATACAAATCCCAAATATCATTATGTATAACTTGATTCCAACAAGCATATTAAAGCGATAAAATCAAACCAAATCGCTAGTACAGCTTCCTAGAAAGTTTATAATGCTTAAGTTTGTTTATTGTGATTCAGCCCTAGTTGAGACTTTCTGATTCATTTTATCCCCTGCAAATTAATCTTTATACTTGTTGTGAGTATAAATATAGTTTTTTTATATATTTCAAGTTGCGTTCTCTTGCAAATTGCAATTTTTATTTCCAATCATCTTCCTGTCCAGCCTGATGTCTATCAGTTCACGCTTACTATCATTCAAATAGCAAGCAGTTATCAACAAATGCCAAACTCCACAGATCAAAAAACCCATCATTTTAAACAAAAACGCCAATAACAACAGAAAAAATCAAAACATACGATGAGAGAGGCTAAGCATGGTGAAAACATTATTGGAATACGGCATCTAGAAGCAAAAATGTCGACAAATCAGCAGGCTCTCTTTTTCAAAGGAAATGCATGAAAAAGCTGCAGCTACGCAGAAAAAAAACGAACCAAAACCCTAAAAACCACACTCCCTAACACGCCAAAGGATCATACTAAAAGCAAACAAATCCCGCAGCACAAAACCCTAAGCCAGACAAATCGCTCCAAAATGCATCTTAAAACACCGAGAAATGCTTCATATCCCAAACATGTATAATCAAAAGTAACCAAAGCGGCAAAAATCAGTCTTAAAGCACGATATCCAAAAAAACAAACCTCGTCTTCTTCCTCATCGTCTTGCTCCTCACCGGTGGCGTCAACTGCGGGTGTGGCGTTTTCATCTTCATCAGAATCAACAGGCCGTGCAACGGCTTCCAATTCCTCCTCATCTTCTTCCTCCTGGTCATTGACCTGCTCCTCCTCTGACGAATTAGACAGAGATTCCTCCGTGGAGTCCTTCGATTTGGAGCGTCTTGCCATGGAGATCTTCGAGGGTTTTCCTTCTCAGTTGTGTAAATCTGGTGAGGTAGAAAAAAATAAGGGGCAAATGGCCGACTTAATGAGTTGCGAAGAGAGAGAAAACACAAAAGATGGGCATTTCTGGGATATTGATATTTATAGACCCAATTTTTGCTTATTTGGAGTGTGGGAAAATTCCCGCCGGTTCAACATGTAATTGGCTTCTTTCCCGCTTTTCGTGAGTGGGGATATTGTGATGTAAATTGTGAGAAATGGGTCGGGTTTTGGAGGGTGAACATGTGGAAAACGGGTCGGATTTTATTATATTTGTTAAGGTTTGTAAAAGTGTGATTTGGTTTTTTTTTTAAAAGAAAAATCAACATTTCAAGGTCATTTTGTTTTTTTTCCAATTTTAAGAGAATCTTTAGTATATTAGTTAGTTAAAACATAGAGCTAAATTTGTTAAACAAAACTGCAAAAATGTCCTTGTAGTATTATTTTTTTGTCCAAACCCGATTTTTTGGATTCGTTATACTTTTGAATTAGTTTCGTTGCGTATTTGGTCTTTCCGAATATTAAAATGACTATAATACCCTTGGGGGATTCATTTTTCCATTTTTCTTTCATTTTTTTTACATCTAATACTTATACTCTCTCTCTCTTTCTAGTGTGTGCGTGTGTGTTTGATAAACACTCGAGAACTGAAGAACATCTTCTCAAAAACATATTCTCAAGAACATCCTTTAGATATGTTCTTCAAAACACATACCCCATAACTATCGGCTCTGACCACCGTTCATCACCACTGTTAGAGGGATTAGGGTTTATGTTGGAGATTTGGATACCCATGGGATCGTATGAACACTTTTTGAACTGATATTTATACATTATGTTTGAGTTGCAAGAAATTCAGCCTATGATAATCCAAGATGACACTTTGAATCTAGACATATAAATCGTAAGACAATTTGCTAGAAGGATTCTATGTGCGTTTGAAGAAAATAGAACTAATGGTTGTGTGTCTCTTCTCAAAGAGAATATTCATTTATATAATAAACGAGATTTAGGGTTTGCCTCTTATGGTTGGCCGTCATTGATTGCTTTGGAAGCAAGTCAGGAAATCTGAATTTTAATGAGGAAATCAAAGGTTTTCAAAACTGACAATTTTCGTCAGTTTTACCATAATCACCCTCAAGAATTTGTTTTCCCACTATGTTCCCATATGTAAAATTCGGAGAGTTTTTGGGGGTCTGCCCCTAGACCCCGTCAAAAGGGCGTTGCCCCGGGACCCCCGCCTTGTCGTCGAACCGACTTCTAATTCAATCTTATAAGTGTGTGCACTCCATACACACACACACACACACATATATATATATATATATATATATATATATCATCAGAGTACAAATTATGAAGCCTCTTAGCTCACATGTTAATTCCAACTACATAAAATGATATGGTTGATGGGTTTTGGTCATAACACATCCTATGTGCTCATACAAACCCTAATGCTTGGATCTAGGTTTCTCTATTGTACATGCTTTGAATCCAAGACTATAACCCCTAATTATAGCATATGGAAATCGATATTAACATATGATTAGGTTTAAGATGTTACCTTGATTGTTATGTAGCAATAACAATCCCAATTCCTCCTTGAATTGACTTTGGAATGCTTAGAGTCACAAGTATCACTCCTCTAATGGCTTACAAACACCAAGAGCAAATGGATAAGGTATAAAGAGAGAGGAGGGAGGTTAGAATTCGTCTTAGGACTCCTTGGGAACAAGTACACGAATTCTAAGGCCTTAGGGTCTTTATATAGGTGTAGAGATAGGGTTTCAGTCATTATCCTTATCTAGTTGCTTATCCACAAAGCAACCCATAAGATAAGTCTTAGAAATCCCTTATCCTTTATCCTTTGGACGATTTCAAGGATATTTTATCCCTTGAATTCGTCCAACCTATATCTAGGATAACTATTACCATATATTATAACTATCACATAATTACAATTCAGCCCCTCTAGTTTAATTAATTACACTTGATCACAAAATTAATTCCTAATTAATTATTGACCAATATTAATTAAACAAATATGATTTCTCCTTTTATAAATCATAATAACCTCTCTCTCTTTATTTATTTCTCCAATCAAGTTGCTTTGGTGAAGGCAACCCAAAAGGACCATGCACCATCGGGTAAAGTACATACCAAAATAGTTATGGACTTAGACACTAATCCAACAGTCTCCCACTTGGATAAGTCTAATAACTATTCTGCGTATGACTTCAGATCCTGATATGCAATCGTAGCTTTCCAAAGCTGCTGTCAACTCTGATCCTATCAGATACGCGTGTCCTTAGATAAGGGATCATATATTCATCCATTCTAGATATCGTATGAGATATGATTTCAAATCATTATCTTTGTACTACTTCTCGATTTCTGATTTATGACGACAGACTAATTGAACAAATCAAATTAGCCCTAGCCCGGCCGAGCATTTACGTTTGTCATCACTAAACCATCGAGGGGCCCAAAAGATATCGCTTTTATCCTACCTTGGATAAAAGGAACGGATAAACTTTGATACAATGCTTGCTTGCATTCACTAACCAAATCACACACAACAATATGTTTTATAACACCAAGTTACTAGTGCGCTTACATATTATCAATGTGCAACCGATTAGCAAGATACAACTCACACATCTCGGTTTCAAGAATATAAGATGTTATCGTCTCACCAGTCACTCGTGATACAATTCATGGAGTGATCCAAGTGAGCGTGGGTTTAATCCAATGCTCAAATTCATATTCATAAGCACTCATGAACGTTGCATCAAACATTTGCTTATGTTTAATACTCTTTTAGACAATCCACACACCAATTCACGACAGTCTTAATTCATATCTACTTCCAACATATGAACGACTGTGGCCCGTTTGAAAAATTCGATTATTCTTAATAAACTCAATTATTCTGGAAGTCAAAACATGCAAAGTGAAACACAAGAATAATACTAATCCCATATGGCCTCAACCCTTTGAGCATAAATAAAACGCAATTTTATTTATCACCATATTGATTACTCATTATTTGTCGTTTCGGGTAATCAACTTCTTACTTGAATTATTACACTTGTCCCATGCACCTAGCATGCACACAATGTTTACCTATAGTTCTTACTTTTGTGAAATATACAAATTGCACACATTTCCAATCATTCTCATTTCACAACTCCAAATCCATTTTCATAAGTGAAAGAATATCAAATTCTTGCTACTTATAGAATATGGTAGATTCTAACATCATGTGCAAATGATTCTTTCGTAATGTCACTGCACCAAAGTCACAAAGACTATTGTCAATGATATTACAAAGTCCTCTATCGGAGATTGTTACAAGATAATTCCTTAGATATGATGTCTCTCACTCAAAGTACATTCCTTTGAACATCCTTTTGCATAAAAGTTTCTAATCTAGACATAGATTTTCAATATTTACTTCCTAATATGAACACGCTTCCATATTTTCCTCGTGACAACTCATTCTTAATAGAATTTTTTCTATTTGTAATGATGTCGATATGGTCAATCCAATATGGAAACATTTCCATATTTTCCAATACTATACTTCCAACTACTCATAAGCGATCAATCCTCGTCGAACTTTGGATTGTCCTTTGATAGTTGTTTAATTATTTTAGTCAAAACCAATTATAGTCCCTTTTCCCTCTAAATGTGCTAGACATTTGGAAAATTTTAGAATGGTCAAACATTAAAGCATTTGCAATCGATCCTATACCCGAAGCGTATGGGACACGACGCATAATGTTTTATTTGCTATGTTCTCAAAATTCGAATTGTGAAAAGGAATTCCGTAATCATAATCGAAATTTTAAGAACACACTATGTACCTTTGGCTAAGTTTATTAACATTTCTCAACCTAAGCCTTTAGATTTGAAATGAAGCATAATATTCTCTCCCTTAATTATAGCAAAACAACTTTACAACCCTTACGACTTTGCAAGGTATAACTCTTGTTTTTCTATAATTAATATTGCCAACTTGCAATACTTTCCATAATAATCATACAATCATAACTTTTATGCTCCCACTATCATGATGATTACTATAAAACATAACACTTATGCTCCCACTAGCTTCGACATGTATTCACAAACATCTTAACTTTCAGAAAACAATACCTATTGAATTTCTTAAGTCCATGTTTCTAATACTTAATGCTTTGATAATCTTTTATCAAGGCCTCTTAAGCTTATACACCTTTGCTTTAGATAGTTCATATGTGTGTCTAAACTATTAAGACTAATTGCCAAACCTCACAATTCAAATCATGGAAAGGGATACCGTAACCATAATTGAATTTGAGAATGCAACTTTACAATCACTATCTTCTTAAAATCTTTCTTAGTGAAAGCATTTTCTCACAATCATTTTCATGAAGGAGGAAATCTTATGACACTTAGATTTTAATGGTGTATATGTTCCTATCCATGTGAATTTGAAAAAAAAAAAATTACGACAAATTCAAACTCATATGGACCGAACTTTCTTAATCTTGATTTCTTGCCTTATGGTAGCACAGCTGCCCACCACGTCTTCCAAGTAGTTAAGCAGCTCACCTTTTCCTATCAATGTACCTTTCATTGATTCAGGTGCCTTGCCTTTTATGCGTTCAAAATGAGAACTCATAGAACTCTCATGCACAATTAACTCGATTGGATTGGCACAGAATCAAAATTTATGTCATTACGATAGGTTGTAAACCTTAACTCGTGTGCTAGTGATGATTGATAAGGTTTATTTGATTTGTTCTTGAAACCTTTCAAGACCATTAAACTCCCACTTACTCCTTGACATATAAGATTCTTTTGTCAATAAACATTTCTTGACAAACAAATTTTCAAGAGTTAGTGTAGCTTGTATCAAAACACTTCATAAATTGGTCCTAGTTGGCCTTTGTCTTATCAAGACATCACAACTTTCCACATTTGATGAATGTTGTAAACCTTTAATACTTTTCACTCATTGTCACAATCTTAACTTTAAGACTTGTTATTGGAACGAAGTATGATAGACTTCTTGATCTAACCATTTCTTCAATCCTTGATTCTCTTCTTAAACATACAATTGTACTAAGACTCACTTAGAGGATCAATTGAGATATGGTTCTTAATCAT